CTTTCTTTTATTTCTTTCTTCCTCTTCTTTTGTCTTTTTTTATTATCTCGTCTCAATGGTGGTCGTTCTAGATTTTTCCATGCTTATATTTGCAAGGAATATTCTAGCAGATATCATCTCAACCCGGACAATTCACAAGCCGATCGTTTACGCTTTAAAAAAGCAGAAATATTCTTGATATAATAGTAACATAATATAATAATATAATAGCAATTATAAAAGATATAAAATAATGTTTTGTTGTTTTTAATTCGTTGACATAGTTCACTGTCATAATTATCGATACATCTATTAACACTATGCAGTTCCGATGGCTCCACGTTGGTGCCATGCGAAAAATATCGAATAAATGCCGGTGGCTCCACGTCGGTGCCATGCGAAAAATATCGGATAAATGCCGGTGGCTCCACGTCGGTGCCATGCGAAAAATATCGGATAAATGCCGGTGGCTCCACGTCGGTGCCATGCGAAAAATATCGGGTAAATGCCGGTGGCTCCACGTTGGTGCCATGCGAAAAATTTCGGGTAAGTGCCGGTGGCTCCACGTTGGTGCCATGCGAAAAATTAATAAATAAGCGGCGCAACACGAAAAAATCTAAATTAGACGTGCGTACAGCATAGTGTTAAGATCTGATACTTGGCATAAAAGTTGATAACGCGTTAAATATATGAGCTAGTATTATATTCATAGGAAATCATTCATTTAGTCTTTTGGAAATAAGAAAAAGAGAGAGAAAAAAGAAGCAACAATAATCTCTCATCTCTTAAAGATTAAAATCGTCCCCCTCGGGTTTAGTCTTCGGGAGTAATCTTCATCCATCAAAATCAATCTATCCTTCGAGCGCACTTAAGAACGAATACTCTGGCACGATAAGAGATGCCATTCGATCCTTCGATGACTCGAAGGAAGGAAGGAAGGAAAGAAAGAAAGAAAGAAATAAAGAAAGAAGGAAGGAAGGAAGAAACGTTCTTCCGGCAACTGATTCTAAGAGTAACGCTATCGTTCATCCCATTTATTTTCAAGAAAAGCTTCGTCATTAACGTTACCTCAAAGCTCCGAGTGCAACGAGATCGTTTCCAAGAGGATTCCGAGTTGATGCTTCGCTATTCTCCCAGAAGGATCCTCGATAATCCTTTCTGATGAATCTTCTATCGAACAGAGAAAGAAAAAGAGAGAGAGTAACCTTTCGTTCGGATCCAACTTGACGAAGACGTCCACAGCAGACGCAACTTAGAAATTATCTTCCCGAAGGAGGAGATCCTTTTCTTTTTCGACTAGAAGAACATTTAGCTCGAACCCCCTCAAGTCGATCGAGTGAAAGAGATTTGTTAGACTTACTTGTGATCCTAGTAACGAACAAAGACACGAGTTTAAAAAGAGTATATTGTCTTTTGACGAGAGTAGAAAGAATCGAAATAGAAGAAACTCCCCCACGGTCCCCTCCCCAACCCAAGTTTTTCTTTCCTCGCGTTTCCTGACAAATGTAAGTAAGAAAAAAAGTATTACTACGTTCGAAGGAAAGTTCGATACATTGCAAGCGTAAAAAGAAAGAAGAAACATTAGAAAGAAGATCGGTTTCGGTGCTAAATTTACATTAGTTTGAAGCATGAATGAAACACGAAAAAGATCTCTTAGTTTTAACCATTTTATCTTCTTCCTCCACATTGAATTTATTTTGTTAACATTATTCAAGTAAATATCGTTCGAAACTTTATCTCCTGCAAATGAAAAGAAAATAGACTTCTCTTAACAAGAACCGATTTGAACCGATCCCCACTCGACGAAATTCCTATTTTCGATGCCAGCCAGAATCGCGATTGACGTTGGCAGAAGAATACGGAGAGAATGATTCAACTTGGGCTTTTTCAAAGAAGAAATAGCTACGATCCCGTCCAAGATGTCCTATCAGACATCGATGTCCTCGATATCAAATAGACTACGTTTCTCAATTCGCAAGAAGAACTCAAGTTATGCTGGAAGAATTTGGCAAAGGGTCTTATATATATACATATATACAATATATGCAATATATATTTATTAATTGTTGATACTTACACTCCTAGATTAATATTCTCACGCAAAAATGCTTATTTTTATGCATCATCAGTATATAAATAAAAAGACTTAAAAGGCAACAAACACGTATTAGATCTTTCAACTTAAATTTTGAAGAAAATACAAAACTGTGCAAATCGAAAAATATATCTTTGGAATTCTTTTAGAAGAAAAAATTGATCATAAAATATTATTGAACGAACGTTCGATAGATAGGTAGAAATTCAAGACATCATTCAAAAGGAAACTATCTCTACGGATAGATTTGAGTGGTGTAGAATCTCTCTCTCTGGCAATGGAAGTAAATGCGAAACCCGGCATCGTTGGCATTGCGGATTCTCTGCAGGATCGAACGAGCACTTCGCTATTGTTGTCGGTTAATTAAGGGAATTGCTGAAAGATTAAGGAGCTACCTACCTCTTCTTATAATCCCTACTCCAAACTTCTTTCTTCTTTACTCTAATACAAAACTCTCTTTATTTTATCTATTTACTCTATGTTTCTCTTTCTCCATTTATTCTTTGTTCAACTAATCTCGATGGAAGTTTCACTGTGTTTTCTATCTAACATAAGTATCGATAATTTAACGTATCCTTTTGATCTAATAGCTTAAATATAACGAACATTTGAAAATATATATTCAAGATAAATATTAAATCAGTAACGAAGCATTATCTGATACTCGTGGTATGTAATTGCGGAAAACCGTAAAGAGAGTGACGGAGGACAAGCTGCCCGTTAACCGCAAGAATCCTCTGTATACAGGGACTGACTGGTCACTCTGAAGCTAGAGTTAGGGTCCTTTAGCTAATTGCTTTCGCATGAGCGAGCGATTTAGTTTCACAATCGAACCCTTTCACCCATTATCTTCGTCAACGTTCATTCGTTCAAACCAAGATAATGGGGACATTGATCAACCGAATGATAAAGGGGGAATCTAGAAAGGGGCACTGTCCTCTCTTGGACCAATCGAATAAACGAAAAAGAAATCCAAATATTTTCTCTCATGACTAATTAATTCATTACTCTTTTCGTGTTTGTGCATAATTTGTATTTATTTCAATAATAAAAGTAATAAAGTATAAAATCAATAATAAGAAATTCAGTAGAAATAAATTAGAAATAATAAAATACTTTGTGATGAAGACAAAAATATTATTGATATAAATCAAAATTAAATAAAAGAAATGTTTAATAGAAAGTATGAGAATAAATTTTGTATTAACATAACTGCGAACGTATGATCATTAGCACGTAAGGGATAAGTAACCAACCAAGCTGACGTTGTATCAAGTTACTGAAAGTTCTAGGCCGAAGTTTAGTCGATCGATAAGCGATAACCGTGGAAGGTGATGCGCGTAGCACTCGGATACGTTGTCGAATTATCTCAATTAACGTCGTTAGCCGACCGACGCGAACCGACGAATCCGACAACAGCCAGCTGCACCAAATTGCACTCTCCTGTAACGAGGCGCAAACACGAAAGCGTCCTCGCGCGACAATGACGAATTAATGCACGTTCAAGACCGCGGTGTACTTAATCGAGCGTACACACTATTTTCGGTTAGCAAGCACCAGGGGAAGGTGGGGTGCTTCCCCATTCTACCTTGATTAATAAATATTACTACTTTCAACATGATCTTAAAACATTAATGAAACAAATCTCTAGAAACGTTAATCATTTAATCGTTGAAACTATTTTTAGGATTTTTCTATATAATTCAATTAATTATTTTTCTAGTCCAAAAATAAAATTGTTAATAAATATGTTTAGCAGGTAAATTGGACACAGTATAAAGAACTAGAACTTTATTTTGATCAAATTGTCAAAATAAAGTTCTAGTTCTTTATACTGTGTCCAACTTAGAAGTAGTAAAACTTAAGTTCTTTATACTTTGTTCAATTTCCCTGCTATAAACATATTTACTAATAATTTTTATATAATGTTAATCATGATAAGTAACAGAAAATCTTGTGTATCTCTTTATCAAGTAAGACGATTATCGTCGTCGACAAGATGGAAAATTTTATGATCAGAGCTTGTATAATTTTCTCGTTCTAAGGAAAGCTTTTAAGAAGCATATGATTCAAAGTTTTTTATTCGACGAGAGCGACGAAGAAGAATGATCATCGGTTCGTCTCCGAACTTTTCTTGGATCTCGAAGTTTATCCAGTTTTATCCAACAGAACGCATCCCGATTTCGAACGTCACGTGGAACCGGATGCAACAGCTTGCTGCGCACAGTCGAACCGGCTGCGTTTCCGATTTAATACGATTCCTCGCCCGTGAATAAATATTTCATCACTCTCTTGCCAAGTTATTTCACACTTCGTTCGTCCTCTTTATCTCAATATATATATATATATATATATATATATATATGTGTGTGTGTGCATATCTCTCTTTTTATTCACATTTTTTTGGATCTTCTCGTAAGAAGATTGAAATCAAAGAAAAGAATTCGTAATCGTATTAATAATTTCTATACGAAACGTTAAACCATTTTTGAGATGTAATTTTTGTTGTCAAATGAATTATCCAACAAGTATAAGTCAAGATGTATATTCATTTTGTATCAGACATACTACAAATATAGTATATGTACGTACCCTTATATAATATATGTATAACTGTAGATATCGTAGGTGTTCTCGAAGACAAACAGAGAACACGTCTCAAGGGAATCCCGATATACGAAATTCAATGACCTATATATACTCTAACATCCATTTTCTGCACAATGCTATTCTCCGTTATGGAATGTTCGCTCTCCTGTATTGACTTAGTGTATCGATATCTATGATCGGTAGCTGCTAACGTCGCCCTCGAGTCTGAAGAGTTGCCACAAGTTTGTTGATTTAGTTTTTTATCTATCGTATTATCAAAAACTCGCAACTATTATCGCATTAATTCGATATTTTACGTAACATTTTATTTTCGTAGAATGAAAACAGAGCATTGCGACTGAAGGAATCCGCATCATTGGCCCTTTCCCCCGGAAATTCCGGTGGTTACATGGACCCAGATGGTACCGCCATTGTGATGTCATCCGAATTACTACCTGCACCTACACCCGATCCAAGAGTTACGTGGAATTATTTCGACGAACAAGGGTAAGCTTCAAGTTTTTCTATGATATGTTAAACCTATTTTTACGAGGAAAAAAATTCAAGTATTTTCGTGATCAGAAAATCAATCTAAAATGTACAAATTCGAATCAGAGTAAATGATCAACGATTAAATCATATATTATATGGACATGTTAAATAATTAATATAATATAAAGTATAAAATGTATCTCTCTTTCTCGTTCACTAAATGCGAAATAAATTTAACCTAAATAACATTCGGATAGGGGGAATATAACTATCATAAACAAAACTGTCGCAACTCTCGAAATTATTTTCGCGACTAAATTCATCTACCCCACGTTTACCGTATACTAAAAACGCATACTGCTGCTTGTGTGTGCGCGGTATTTAATACAACCCATACAAAAAAAAGAACATTTAACGGCAAGTTTAATCCACAATCGTAACTATGAATTATATCTCTGGTCGCCATAGATACTTATGTAAACTACGCATACATATGTATATCTGATACGAGTTTTTCACGAGGATAAATTATAATATTGGGTTTTTATTGTAGATACGTTTCGAGAGGTGGTTTACGAGCTGGGGAGGATCCATACGCAAGAAATAAATTCAATCAAGAAGCCTCGGATGGTCTTCCAAGCAATCGGGATATACCTGATACTCGTAGTGCAATGTGAGTAATATAATATAATAATAACTCGTAAATTAAAAATTTCGAGTTTATCGAAATCCTTACGTCATTTATTTGACGATCGATGATCGAGGTCAAGTTCAGTTTGATTGTAAATCTGTCGCGTTAAAAGATCCAATAAAAAAGTATCAAATTATATCGTGAATAATAATGCAATTGATCGAAAATAACGACGAAATTATCGTTAATCAACAGAATTCAACGCATAAGGAAAAAAAGAAAGGAACGTTAATAATGAAGCAGAAAAATTCTAAGGGAAAATCAATTGTTAAAATATGTCGATCTATCAATCCTTTTATACATTATTATCAAAGTCTTCGCGAATTTTATGGAAAACAATATTCCTCTTCTGTGATCGCCAAGATCGCAGCATATCGTTGGAAATTCATGGAACCCCATAACAAACAGCGATACATTGAAGCCGCCAGAAAGCAATGGCTTCGTCGAAGAAAAGCACCAATGGCTCGTAAGAAATAACTTCCAACGACCTCCGACCCAGTAATTTTTCAAGAAACCGATAGAAAGTACGCTTTCTCGGATGAATGAACTTTGATCAAATTGATTGACTAGTCTTATTTGTCTCGATAATTTTTCAAATAATTTACTTTTATATATTTCAACATTATTTTACGCGGATAAAAGTAATTTCTTGTTTTTTTATTTAACATTAACTTACATTTTGCGTGTTTTTGTGTGTGTTTGTTTGTGATGTTGCACGTAATCTAATATTTATTAATTGAAACATTAATTATATAGGATATATTTGAAGCTATTGCTGTAGAAGAAATAATATGGAATGAAAGAACTAAATTGATCCGATCGTTGAAGAAGACTATTTATATCTTTTGTATACGTTTCCTAATCGAACGTTTCTTAAAATAACTCTTATTGTATAAAATTTTATCCAGTGTAATAATCTCGTGATTAAAATGTCGTCGAGTTAATATATAAAACAATGAAAGAATAAATCTCTTATTGAATTATTTATAAATGGGAAAGATACTCTTCAATTTATAGATTTTTCCAATGTTTCTGTTTTCCCCTTTGTATTTTACTACTACCGGAGAAGTGGAATAATGTCATTCATTATAAACGAACCCACGAGACTTGCGGTAAAGTCATATAAGTCAATTATTCAACAAGTGCAACGTCATATAGGAGAACATGCTATGCTCTGAATAAACTATCGCCTCTGTTTGTCTGGACGAATTATGGAAACAAATTTACGAAAAGCTAAAACTATGTAAGAGAGACAGAGAATGAAAGAGAGAGATAGAGAAATCATAGAATAAATTTGAAAATCGTATTATATATAATATTATTTCTGCAAAATATCGACAAAGCAATATGTATCTTGTTACACGTGCATGTTTTATAAAATGTTTTTAATTAACAAAATTGCAAAGTATAGTAAAAATCTTTTTGTATTTTATATATGTATATGATACGATTGCAAAAATATATGTACATGTATGCACATAAGTATAAAATGCAATTAGAATAACGCAAAAAATATTGAATACTTACTCAACTCATATTACTTACGCGTACACATATACATGTTTAGCCGAAAATTCACCATTGCTAGTAATTCCTCGGCATTCTCATCAATGCAAAGAGCATTCCGATGAAGTCGGAGAACGTATGTGTGCCCGAGAATGTATTCTTTTCAACGTTGTTTAAATAGTAATTTGATATACCATAGAATATCAAAGTATTATGTTCAATGCTTAGGAAAAACTGTAAAAATTCTTCTGTTTCCGACATCATCGGAAGGCTCTTTGCATTGATGAGAATACCGAGGAATTACCAGCAATGGCGGATTTCCGGCTATGACGGTAACATATATATATTACGTAAGTACGGACGTTTCCTAGGTTTTTTTTTGATTCTTTCCAAGAGACTTTCTCGATCGATACTACCTTGTCATTTTCAACTCCGCTTTGTATTTGAGAATTCAAATGGAATCCTTGTCCTCGATTTTCTTCGACTTTCTCTACCGAAGTGTATAAGGGTTCTTCAGTCTTCTCCAGCATGATCTAATTTCCGATGTCACCCTACACGCTTGTCACGTTCCCAACTAAACTATTTCTCGTAAGCTGTGGCAATCAACAAGTAAAGAAACTCTGCTTTTGTTCTTAAACGAATTGATAAAAGTTATCCCGATGATTTTTAATATTCTTACACATAGTTTTTATAATTATTTGTAAAATGTTTTATAGAAAGTTGAGTAAAAGAATTTATTATCAAAATTACTAAAACAAGATAGAATTGATTCGCGTAGATATCGTTAACGAATTAGAAACGTAAATGTAAATTCTCATTTTAAACGGTATAATCACCGAAACGTCTTTCCTATGATAAAAGAAATTCGAAAATCGTGTCAGGAGGTTGGTAGGTGTCTTTAGAAGCCGTGACAAAAGGTGACATCTTCTGCAATACACAATAAGACTTTCCGACATCACCGTTGTTGAATGAAACCTCGAGCTGCACTACTTGCATTCAGTTGCAAGCGAATTGCGTGTACCTCTACCTATACACACGTAGAAAAATATCAAGGGAATTGAGCATAAGTCGAACCACGAGAATCTATATCGTATATATGAGTTGAGAGATAGTACTTTGTGTTATCATCATTATTTCTATATCGAGCTTGTCAAGATAAAACTCGGTAGGACAGAATCCAAGCTCGTACGATTCTTTATCTCGATCATTTAGTAGACGTATTTTTTGTTTTCTATTCTTTATTTATCTCTCTCTCTCTATTTCTTCTCCTTTCCCCCCCCCCGTTTTCTTTTCTTTTCTTTTCCTTTCTTTTCGTTTCTTATCTCCTCCGTCTAGTTTTTCGTCTTTTCCCTTCTATTCTTTATTCTTCCACGACAAAACGTCAAGAGGTTTATTTCTAACTCGGCAACTCGTGACAACAATATTTTTATGACGTGTTCGCGTAGATCGGCGAGGCGGCTTTGTAGAAAAGTTTCGTGCTAGCAGAGATAAGTCCGAGACGAAAATCCCCAACGTAAATTTGTGAAGGTACTTTTAAAACTTCGTGGGTAGCATTATCGTGGTGGAACTGCATTAAGATGAAACTTCCTCTCGAATGCCGTCAGGTTTTAACTCGAAGATAAATATATACGTAATCTTTGGTTTTTTCCCCGTTAACGAGTTACGATGAATTGTGGGCACAAAAAATTTGCACAAACCCCATCCCCCAGCCCCTACCCCAATGTTATTATCGATATTTTTTCTTAACGAGTATTTTATGATCATCATTATTTTTTTAGCATCTAATCGAATTCATTTTTCCCACACCCTTCGCCCCATTTCCCAATTTTCTGTTCCGGGAAATAGTTTTATGGATTTTTCGAAAGTGTATCGGAATCGATGTATAACGATAAATCCCTTTTGTGCGAAAAAAACAAGTTTTTCTCTTTTCTAGTTTGCTGTTGATCCTCCTTCACAATATCACCGATCTCCAATAGCCGAGAACTCGAAAGGGACGACCGGAAAAACTGTCCAGCACAGTTTCTGTCACATTCAGACTTTATATATCCCCCTATAATTGGACAGTCCTCGTCGTGCCCTTATCGTTTAATATTGCTCTTTCCATGGTGGATTTGAAAAAGAATCGATGAACAAGTTCGCTCCTGAAGATTCCAACTTTTGTCGAGTTGAACGTTGATAGGGGGGATGATGATGATGGGAATGGTATGAGGGGGGTTTTGATGGGAGGTTCGACAATGAAAGGAAGTTGGATAGCGAAAGACGATTCCTAGAGCTAAATATCGAAACGAACCAGCTTAGAAAAGACGACGAAAAGTACCTCTCATTGACTCACTCTTTCTCTCTCTTTCACGGTTTATTCCGATGAATGCAAACCTTTATGCCCGTCCTCGCTAAATACGTAACTTCGAATTGAATTAAGTTGAGCGTAGCGTAAGCTCTCGTAGCTCCTTTTATAATGAATTCAAATAGGGCAACGCTTCATTAGCCGAGTAAACGATCGATTCGTCGTTCTTAGTTTACCAAACTTTCGATAAATTCTACGAATGAAACAAACGCGTTTTTCGAATCGGTATATTTACGTGTACGTACAATGAACCGCAAATAAGTTTTCATAGATTGTGATATATAAAATAACAAATTATATAATAAATAGGTATCTTAGAGAATTTGGACATTCAAAAGAACTAGAACTTAATTTTGATTAATTGAACGTTTCGTCCCGTTATTGGGACTTCTTTAGCAACTTAATCTCTAAAGTTCAGCGTCTTACATACATTTTTGTAATATTCAAAACACTATAGATCTAAACTTCGTTATCTTTTGATCCATTATATTTGAACACTATATATATATTTCTGTCACATTTCGCGAGTTTTTTTTTTCAAGTATAATAAATTATTTAAAGTGAACTCATTCTCTCTTTTTACGGAAAAACTTATTTGATCTAATGTAGGTAGCAGCCGTTCCTTTCGAGTCAACTTACAATTAGTTTTCGCGCTCGGAAACTTGCCATCGATATTATTCGCTTTCTTCGTGAAGGTACTTTAATAAAAAAAAAAAAAAAAGTAATCGAAAGAAAACCGCGATTTCTTCCGAATGAGACAACGAATAATGGATCCTCGAGGCGAATAAGAAGATAAAGTTTATTACCGTTAAGGACAATTCCTTCTTTATGCTCCGGACCGTCCTTCGCTTTGCTTCCTGTCTATGGCCTTTTTTTTATCGTTCAACCTGCTGACGCGAACACTCAAGTTTTTTTTTACTCCCCGACTACTACCCCCCAGTTATTTCTTTTTATTCTATTTCGCTCTTTTTATCTTTAGCATAAAAATACTTTTCTTAAAATCTTTCTTTCATTTAAGAATCGTTTAAGAAATTTGTTACTCATTTTGACAATAAAAATCTCTTTAATTTAACTTTACATACGTTCAATTAAGTAATTTACGAATTATATTCATTTATATTGACAAACTATC